AAAAAAAAAAAAAAGTTAATTCTCATCACACCAATCCACGGTTTGAATGTAATGCTAATCAAATTCCCAAAAGATACTCTTTTTTAGATCTTGACAACATGATTCTAAAAAAATATGAAAGAGCAAAGGGCTAAGAATAGCCAAGAAAGCAATAAAGAAGAACAAGTTGGAGGTGAAGGGGCTTATCTTACCAGATATCAAAAATTATTACAAGGCTTTAAGATACTGGTATTGGTGCAGGGATAGACAGTTCTCACACATATGGAAACCTGATATGATGGAGCTGGTACAACAGATCACTGAAGAGGACAGACACCAATACATACTCCTAGGATAATTGGTTAACGGTATCAAAAAAATAGTAAAAGCTGCACAAGGTGGTGTGCACCTGTAGTCACAGCTACTCAAGAGACTGAGGCAGGAAGATCACTTGAGTCCAGGAATTCAAAGGCAGCCTGGACAATGTAACAAGACCTCGCCTCAAATAATAATCACAGTAATAATAATAAATTGGACCTCTTTCCTCACACCAATTCCAGGTGGATTATAGATTTAACTGTGAAAGCAAAATTATAAAACTGTTAGAAGATAATGTGTATTCAAAGTAAGGATTTATTTAACAAGACACAAAAAGCAGAAGCCATAAAGGAAAATAATAAATTTGAGTAACTTAAAATTAAGAAATTCTATCAACAAAAGGCAAAATAAAATGAGTCAAAAATTAAGTCTTCACTGAAAGATCTGTGTAGGTCATATAATTATTAAAGAATTCACATCTAAAATACATAAAGAACTTCTAAAAATAAATAAGTAAAATTCACAGAATCCAATAGAAAACAAAATAGGAAAAAAAAACAGGCAGAAAAATTGAGTAAGTATTTCAGAGAAGGAAGCCAAATAGCTAATGAACATACAAAAATATAATCATATAAATACAAATTAAAATCTCAGTGAAATATTTCACAACAACATATTGTCAAAAATTTTAAAGTCAGATAGCAAGGATTCTCAAGGATGTAGAACAAGAGAACACTTATTTCCATGGAAAGACGATAAATAAATACAAGCATTTTGGGAATCACTTCATCCTTAGCAGGGTTGAAAAGTACCTTCCTGAAGCCCAGCAATTCCATCTTTAGAGAAGGCTTCCTTGCTCTGAACCAGAGTTAACTGGGCCAGGCGGTGACAGGCTCCAGGGCTATCACTGCTCAGGCCCTGCCCAGTCACCCCAGGGGACAGAGGAAATCAGTATCTCCACACCCCTGTAATCCATTTGCAGCACAGCAATGTGCAAAGCACATCACTCGAGAAATGCTGCCCTAGAAAAACACTCTCACATGTTCAACACAGGAAATAAGAGACTGCCGGTCACAGTGGTGCAAGCCTGTCATCCTAGCACTTTGGGAGATCGAGATAGGAGGATTGCTTCAGCTCAGCAGTTTGAGATCAGTCTAGGCAATGTGGCAAAACCTATCTCTATGAAAAATACAAACATTAGCTGGGCACAGTGGTGTGTGCCTGTAGTCCCAGCTGCCTGGAAGGCTCAGGTGGGAGGATTGCTTGAGCCCGGCAAGTTGAGGCTGCAGTGAGCCGAGATCACATGGATAACCAGACCTTGGAAAGAAGAGAGGGAGGGAGGGAGAGAGAGAGAGAGAGGAGAGAGAGAGAGAGAGAGAAAGGGAGGAAGGGAGAGAGGGCAAAGGAAGGAAGGGAGGAAGAGAAAAGAGAAAGAAAGAGAGGAAGGAAAGAGGAGAAAAAGAAAGGAAGGAAAGGAAAGGAAGAAAGAGAGAGAGAGAGAGAAAGAAAGAAAGAAAGAAAGAAAGAAAGAAAGAAAGAAAGAAAGAAAGAAGCAAGCGAACAAACAGTAGTTCATGCGTGTAATCCCAGCACTTTGGGAGGCCAAAGCAGGAGAATCACTTGACCCAGGAGTTTGAGAGCAGCCTGGGCAACATAGCAAGACTCTGTCTCTATTTTTTTTAATTTGAAAAATAAAAATAATAATAATTTAATATTAAAAAAGAATAGTCAGGAGTCGTGGTGCTCTCCTGTAGCTACTTAGGAGGCTGAGATGGGAGGATCAGCTTGAACTCAAGAGTTTGATGCTGCAGTGAGCTATGATCATGCCATTGCACCTTAGTCTGGGCAACAGAGCAAGATCCTGACTCTAAAAAAAAAAACAGACAGAAAGAGAGGGAGAAATACAGAAAGAATAGAAAACTCTAGAAGCAGTCAAAATATTCATTAACAGTAGAATAGTCACATAGCAGCATATAGCAGTAAAAGCAAATAAATTGCAATAACAACATGAATGGATCTGAGGAATATAATGTCCTGCATAAACAAGTTAAAAAAGAAATATGCAATATGAAACCATGCGTACAATATTGAAGACCAGGCAAAAGTAAGTAATATACTTTTAAGAATACAAATACATGTGGTTAAAAAAATTTAAAAACAAACAAACTGAAAACACACACACACACAAAGCCAGAGAATGGTGTATACAAATTTTACAGGGATGGAAATTTTGTTAGGGGAAGTAGGAGCTTCCATCCCCTTATTACCTTCAATACCCATTATTGCCTTTGGGAGACCACAAGGGCAATGGCAATATTATTTTCTTGTGCTAGGCTTTGTGTGAATGGGTGTTCACATATTGTTATTCTCTGTATTTTATAGAGTTAATGTTATTTAATGCTTAATACAAATTATTAATAAAACTCCACAAAGTATTTATGATGGCTCTACTAAAAAGCTCAGGGTTAAGCTGGATCCAGAGCTGGTTCTTCAGTGGCACAATTACATCCTCCAGGACCAAGATCCTCTCCACGCTTCTCACTTTGCAATCCTCAATTTATGAAAGTCTTTCCTTCTGCTCACAAATTGAACACAGAACTTCCAAATGTTACAAAAACCCAGGAATATACCCAGCAAAGGAGGAGGGTCTCCATCCATGCATTTATTAGTGAGACAACCCTTCTACAGAAGACGTCCCCTCAGTGCCATGGACCAGGATTTGGGGCACGCGTCCATTCCTAAATGAATCCTGGGCAGACAATACTGGATCATCGTGACTGGCTTAGACCACTGATTCTCAAAGTTTGGTCCCTGGGCCATCAGCATCAGCATTCCCTCAAAACTTGATAGAAATGCCCTACCCAAGACCTATGGAATTAGATATTCTGGGGGTGCAGATCAGCAGCCTGTGTTTTAATACATTCCCCAAGTGAATCTCATGCATGCTAGAGTTTGAGAACACTGGCTTAGGCTTAGACTAATTCAAACTTAAACTCTGAAGCTAGAGATATAATCACATTCCTGAGGACACAGGATGGAAAGTGAACACCTAATCAAATGTGGGGCTGTCACGGGAAAGAAAGACGTTTGCCACAGAGTCTCCCTGATGAATCCTTCAGGACATCAGAGAAGGGTTAGAAGCCTCAAGCAAAGGGAAATGTGACTTGGCTCAGCAGGATGAGAGGAGTTCATAGGAATGGGAAGGAAGGGCATATCAAAAAGTAGAAAGAAAATGACAAAGAAAGTCGCTATAGTTCCTTTAGCCCAGAGCCACTTAACTAATTGGGATTCATTTGTTGCAGATAAAGTAAAAATTCATTTCCCCAAATGTCAATCTAATAATATAAAAGCCCCCAACACCTTCTTTTTCAATTATAAATATGCCTGAAGGGGAATTGTAATGTTAAAGTACTACAGTGTGAACAAAGCAACTAATTCCCCTGTGGTTATTTTTCATATTTAGATGAACTTAGTGAGACTCTGCATTACCCACATCAGAATTTATCTGTACACCTAAATCATCACTATTTTCCTCAAATATGTTCTAACAACAATATCTGGGGTCATATTTTTAACTACTTTGAGGGTTTTCTAATGTGAAAAAGAAATGAATATCAAAAGGTGGCAAATAAATGAGTTAAAGACAAATAACAGACCAGAGGGAATACCTGCAACATGTAGAATACGAAAGTTAACATTCATAATATATACAAAGATCCTACAAATAAGAAAGAAAAAGAAACAAAATTCAATTAAAAAATAAGAAAAGATGTAAACAGGTCATCAATTTATTCATTCACTCAACTACTCATTTTTTAAAATTCCATATCATTTGCATCCTGGCTCCACCCTTCCGAGTTGTGTGACCTGGGATAGTCTGTTTAATTTCTCTATGGCTCAGTTTTCCCACCAACCATAAGCAGGTAATAATAGTACCAACTTCATAGGGTCTTTGAAAGTATCAAAACAGTAAATATATGCAAAGCATAAGAAGCCTCAGAAATGCTAGCTATCAAGTTATTATCTTGTATATTATAAGACCAGCACTCTTCTAGGCATGGCAATTCTCAAAAGAAGCAAAATAAACAGTCAGAAAATAGCAAACAATGCCTACTATCAACACTATGCACAGGTTTGTGGGGATATAGCATTCCCATGCTTCATCAGTGTAAACTCAGAGCAAAGACTATGGAACAAGTAAATAGCATCAACTTTAAATGCACATACAACATGATGCCAGAATGCTACCTATAGGACTTTACTTGAGGGTACTCAAAATATGTGTTTATCACCACATATTTATAACAGAAAAGAATACTGGAAATATCCTAAATGTCCATATATGGGGACTGGTAAAAGAAATATGGTACATTTAAATTATGGGAAATCTATTTTAAAAATAAGATAGATGTATATATACTGATATGAAGACATCTTCAATATATAATATTTTTTCAAGTGAGTGTAACATGATCCTTTTGTGAACATCTTAAAGAGTTTACGCATATATTGCATACATATATTGCATATGCATGAACATGTCTTGGGAAAGAAAACGTCACTGTGGGAAAAAGAACTAAAGATCGGGGATGGTGGGGAGTTATTTCCATTTTTATTTTTTATACTACTGGAATTTTTCTATAGCTATTCTTTTTAATGTGGTGAGATTATGAGTTGTCTTTTTTCTTCTTTATTTTTTCAGCATTTTTTAAACCTAATACTTAAAAGAAGCACAGGTGCTTATTATCTCACAATTTTTAAGGGTCAGAAATTCAAGTGGCTTATTAGGATGGCAGGATGCTTCTAGCTCAGGATCTTTCATGAGGCTGCAGTCTCAGCTGAAGGCTTGGTTGGGGCCAGAAGACTTGATTGCAAGGTCACCCATGTGTCCATCAGTCAGAGGCCTCAGTTCTTCACCAAGTGGGCCTTTTCATAGGTCTGCTCACAATATGACAGCTGGCTTTCCCCAGAGCAAGTGATCTAAGAGAGAGAGCAAGAGAACAAGTAGGAAGCCACAGTGGCTTTTAGGAAATGGCCTCTGAGGTTATATTCCATCACTTCTGCTTTATTCTATTCAGTAGAAGTGAACAGTATCCATGAGTTTGCAGACATTTCAAAACCACAAATGACAGAAGAGGAATATTTATGAGTTAAATACAGAAAGAAAGAGAAGTAGGACTTGATGTATTGAAGATTTGTGAAAAGAACACTAGCCTTCAATCAGGAGAGCTGGGGTTTATTTCACCATATACAGCAAGTACTTAATAGATGTTTGGGGCTAGGCACAGTGGCTCATGCCTGTAATCCTAGCACTTTGGGAGGCAGAGGCAGGCAGGTCACTTGAGGTCAGGAGTTCGAGACCAGCCTGGCCAACATGGTGAAACCCTGTCTCCACTAAAAGTACAAAAATTTGTCAGGTGTGGTGGTGCATGCCTGTAGTCCCAACTACTTGGGAGGCTGAGGCAGAAGAATCGCTTGAACCTGGGAGGCAGAGGTTGCAGTGAGCCGAGATCATGCCACTGCACTCCAGCCTGGGCAACAGACTGAGACTCTGCCTCAAAAATAAACAAATAAAATAAAAATAAAGAAATAAGTGTTTAGTAACTGTTCATTAAATGAATGAATGTAGAAATTACAGCTTTTCTGAGACTGTTTTCAAGTCTTTGGCTATGTGCATAGGAGCAGTTACCACATTACAAAGGCTCTCCAGAGGGTTGGGTGGGATAATGGGTATCAGAGGTCTTTGTAAATTTAACATCTGTAGCCAAATTTTGCAAGGACACAAATTTGGCCTGAGAAAGGAGGAAGAGGCTCTGGCATACTGGAGTCCTTGCCCATGCCAAGTGTCTTCTCTGCCTGGCAGGGTCCCGGGACCTGGGGCAGCACTCTGATTCCAGCTCCCCGTCTGAACTCTATCTCAGCCCAGTCCTGACTCCTTGCAATGTCTTACTTCCAGTTGTTACTAAAAATCTGATACATTTTATTTTATGACAGCACCAAACTCATTGGTCTTCCCTAGCTTGATAAATAGCAACTCGATTTTTCCCATCACTCAGGCCAAAACTTGGAGTCATTCCCAATATCTCTCTCTATATCACTCCTCACATCCAATTGATCAGTTAATCCTTCTAATTATATCCAGCATCCAGCTTGTCACCACTTCTATCACTACCATGCTATCCAAGCAGTTCCCCACCCTCCCCACAACCAAACATGTTACCTGGTACACCAACATGATTTCTCTCTAAAGAGAAATCTCTTTTCAACAAGTCATTTGCCTGGATCTAACATCCAAGTCTGGATATAGTTTCTGACCCTTCCACTAGCATCATTCTGCAACATTTTCCACAGATTATATAATCTAATATCATACGATGAGTAGGTGTGATGCATGCCTGGTGGCACCACACTGCAGCCATTTCATGACAACCAGTCTGTGAGCATATTTGTTTCCTGTGTCACAAGACCCAGGCCTGACTAGGGTCTACCATGGCAAGCAACATCTGGAACTACTGAGCTGTATGTGACAGGAAGGGGAGACTCCGTCAAATGCTGAAGTGTATAAAACAGAAAAAGTGAGTATACATGATCCTCTATGATATCACACCATTGAATTAACCTATCCTGGAATGGCCAGACTTCTTGTATCCAATAATAAAACTCTTATTGCTTAAACCATTTATTAGTTTTTTCTGTGGCAGCTAAAAACATCCTTCATCCTTATCAATACATCTGCTATTGGTAAGTGTTCATTAAACGAACAGCTAAAATTAGAAAGGATTATGGCAATTTTTAAAAAATCAAATACAATCGGTCAGTTAAAATACAAAAATAAAACTATTCCAGAAACACAATAGAGAAATAGGATACATGAGGCTACTAAAAATCTCAGATTAGATAGTTATTAATATTAAATCTAAAGTTCCTGACTCCAGAGGAAAAGAAAAAGAATACCAACATTTTAGGAGAGAAAAATCTTTTCCTGATACTAATCCTACGTAAAATCTACCATGAGAAGATAAGGGATACAGAATAACATAATAGAGGTAGTGTTTCTGTGGCAAAGATTGTTCATGCTTGCCAAATATCCACGTATTCCATATCCCAGACCCCATGAATCCCAGTGGGATCATGTCACTAATTCTTAACAGTGGAATGTGAGCAAAAGTGATGTATCGTTTGTGATCCAGGAAGGATGCACTTCTCCACACCTTCAGTATCTCCTGTCCATACAGCTGGAAACAAAATGCTCTCAAGATGACAGTTTCCAAATAAAAGCAACTTGGATCCCTGAGTTGTCGCTTGATGGAAAGCCAAGCAGGAGACCAACCCAATCTATATCAGATTGTGATATTAAAAAGAAACAAATCTTGTTGTGTTAAGCCACTAAAATTTTCAGGTTTATCTGTTCCACTGAATAGCTCAGCTTAGCCTGGCTACTACAGTATCCATCAATAACTTTACACTCTACTTAAGATTTTGGAATCAAGAATGCCATTTGAAAGAGACATATGGTTGAGGTTTAATTCTTCTAAGTTGAACACATCCTTCATTTTCATAACAACCCTCAGTTCCTCTTCCAAACACAACACAGAAATGCACACCATGATTTGGTATCTTCTTGAGTCCAGTAAGCATCCTCTCTCTCTAAGAGCTATCCTTTCTCAGGGAACTCTTGTTCACACCCATTCTGTTTCATCCTCTCAATGCAGCATTTAAGAAGCTGAAAACAAAGGAAAACAAGGATAAGTTTAAAACACCAACTTAGTGATGGTAACAAAAAGAACATCACTGAAAGGTTATATATATATATTGGGACAGTCGTCTTTTTTCAGCACTAAAAATCCTATCAATTGTGTCATTTCAAACGCTCTGGAATTCAGTAATCCACTACTATAAAAAGTGTGCCAAACCAAAAATATCTGAGATCTCCAAATGAGCGCTTTCTTGACTAGAAAATCCTGGGCACCGACATCATCTCAAATGTATAAAAATAAACTGTGATAGAGTAAAACACTCAGGGAGGAGGCAAATACTTGTATTTTATCATTTCAGGTGCTAATCTGTAGATTTTTCTACCTCTGCCTTTCTGAGTATAATGCATGGACTGATCCGAGTTTCCCTGAGCTGCTCCAGCACTCAACCTGGGGATGTTTCACACTGAGTCATCCTTCCTATTAGGCTGCTTAGGGAGGGAATTACTGGGATTCCCACTGTAATCTGAGCACCCTTTACTGCCACTTATACCAAAGATGCTACATCCCAAAATGATAACTAATTTCCTGTGCGGACCCTGAATCTCTCCCCCTACCCTAAGTTTTTATCATTAAGTTCCTGCTTTTGACTTTATAGGATCTATTCTTTGGTCCCTATTTCAAGCTATTGTTCCTAAGATTATTCTTACTAGTCCTGCCCCCCTCCAAAAATACCCTGGTCCCTAAAGTTGGTGCCCATGACCAAGTATGTTTAATAATACTGAGTATTTGTCATATATCAATAATAAATACATGACGTTTTGTCATTTAAGGTAGTGGTCACCAACCTCCAGGCCACAGACCAGTACCAGTCCGTGGCCTGTTAGGAACCGGGCTGCTCAGCAGGAGGTGAGTGGCAGGTGAGTGAGCAAAGCTTCATCTGTATTTACAGCTGCTCCCCATGGCTCCCATTACTGCCTGAGCTCCGTCTCCTGTCAGAGCAGCAGCAGCATTAGATTCTCATAGGAGCACAAGCCTTATTGTGAACTGCGCATGCGAGGGATCTAGGTTGCACACTCCTTACGAGTATCTAATACCTGATGGTCTGTCACCGTCTCCCATCACCCCTAGATGGGACCGTCTAGTTACAGGAAACAAGCTCAGGGCTCCTACTGATTCTACATTATGGTGAGTGGTATAATTACATCATTTTATATTACAATGTAATAATAATAGAAATAAAGTGCATGATAAATATAATGCACTTGAATCATCCCAAAACCATCTCCCTGCACCCCACCTCCCCAGTCCATGGAAAAATTGTCTTCCACAAAACCGGTCTCTGGTACCAAAAAAATCAGTGATCTCTGGACCACTGATTTAAGGAATCAAAGAAAAAATGATTTCTAAAAGTTAATAAACTTTTTTGTTCAAGACTGAAGCCACAAAGTATAAAGTCAGTTCTTTTAAAGGATATTCTAGACATAGTGATCAGGCCATAAGCTAATTGGTTTTCCTACAGAATCTTTAAATTGTCACAACCACACTTTAAGGTAGGTACTATTAGCCCTACTCTGTAAAAGAGGAAACTGAAAACTAAAGAAGTTAGGTAACTTGTCCAGAGTTTCCAGCCTAGGAAGTGGCAGTCACTGCTGTCTGACACTATTTAATTTAAGGAATCAAATGTTCCAAGTTATAACGGGTTTCAATAAATTATTATATTGTCCAGAGGGAAGCCAATGAAAGTGCTTAATGGGTTGACAGAGCACAGGATGTTCCTTTACTATCTAGAGCCTCCCAGGATTAGGGGGTGGAACAGCACCTGCTCGAGAGAGAGGGGTGTGTGTGTGTGTGTCTGTGTGAGTGTGAGTGTGTGTGTGTGTGTGTGTGTGACGGTGGAAGCGGGGAAGAAGGTCCAGCCAGGAAGGCGTTACCCATGTCAGTCCATAAATGAGCAGCTAGGACATAAAAGCAGAACCTAAAGGTAATTTTTTCCACCAGTAAATCAAGAAGGACAAATCTACACTTCAGAACTTTTGTCGTCAGCCAAAAGTTTAGGGAAGCTAATCTAAGAGCTGAGGGCATGCACAAAGGAATCCTACTTACGTGATGCCTGGACTGCTAGGACTGGGGTTGGGAGAAGAGGGTCAGAAGGGCTTTTTAAAGGAGTTTCCTCAGCTGCTGACCATCCTCAATGCTGGACAGATCCAGCCTCCCTTCCCATATTCCCATACTCTCCCTCCAGAATCAGAGTTAAATCAATCTGATCTTTGGAAGGTTCTTTATTGTTTTAAATCCACACTGCGGTGTCTTCAGAATAAGGGGGGAAAGTTGAGATTCCAGTTCTTTGCACAGGTAAGAAAAGGGGGGAAGATCTAAACTAAAATACTCTATTTGGTCCAAGATAAATATACTCACACACTCATTTACTTAAGCAATATGTGATGTTATAAACTAGATTGAACATCAATTCTCAAATCATACATTGAATAAGAGCACCCTCATCAGGCCACAACTAATTTATTGAGTTATAGTAACTGTGCTAAAGTACCATTTGACTTCCAAAACGAGAAAGTGATGCAGTAATAAGCAAAAATTGCAGAGGCATATGCCAACTGTCTCAAAATTGTCCCCCAAAGTCATCTTGCCCAATTATCATTTAATAAAGGCAATTGCTAGACAACGTTATGTGTATTCACAGAGAAAAGAACATTAAGGTCAAAATGTTTTTGTTGAAGCTCTACCACTAACAGTGGGACCTTCACAAGTTGATGAACCTCTGTTAGCCTCTATTTACTCATCTCTAAAATGGGCATAACCTTATTAAATCTGCCTTACTAGGATCAAATAAGATACATTTCAAAGTCCTATGAAGTAAAATATAAAGCACTTAATAAAACAATTATAAATTCAGGTATTATCAGTATTATTTTTACTGAATATGATATAGCATAAAGAATCACCTCATTTTGTTCACATCACAAAAATAACCCTTGACAAAAAAGACATTTGTTATTTCTGTGTTATAGGTATCCACATTCTTTAAAAAGTGAATAAAGTATTTAATTACAAAAAAAAAAAAAAAAAAGCACTGGCTGTGCAGAGGATCTTACAAAGATGTGCAGTTCAGACTCATGTCTTAAATGATCTACTTTTTAACTCCTTGGCAAGGCTCTGAATCATTTAAATTAGAGGGGAGTATCAACAAAGATTGATTTCAGTACCACGGGTAGGGCACTGTGCTAGGCTTTCAAAGAAATACACTAATTTTATATGTAGATCTTAGATCCTAGGAGACACCTCAAGAAGTCATCTACTATACAGAGTAAGTTTCCCTTACAGCTCCTGTCTCAGAGAAAGATCTCAAAGGATAAAATATGTTAATTACAGTGACCCCTAGAAAGTGTAGTTAAAGGTAGAACCATCATGTCCGTATTGTTAGAAAGTTTTAAATAAATACATGGTGTTTTGAGGAATCAAACAAAAATGACTTGTAATGCTAATAGACATATTTTAAAGAATGAAGCCAGAAAGCATAAAGTCAAAGGCTTAGGTTCCAAGAACATTCTGGAGACAATCATGTGCAGCCTGAAGCAAGCCTTCAGACTCCTGCACTTGCATTTCACCTCTCAGAAATTTGCAAAACTATTTATCTTGCCATTATGACTTTAGTGCTCTTCTGCATAGTTTTAAGTGAAACATCTAAATTTTTATTGTAAATATAATTAGTTTAAAAGGATAATTTTTGGTGTGCTGTAAGTATTGGTGTCTTAACATGTATACACTTGAATCTAAATGTAGCAATTTGAGACTCATTATCACTCATTAAAAAAACAAGCTCTTGGCCAGGCACAGTGGCTCACACCTATAATCCCAGCACTTTGGGAGGCTGAAGCGGGCAGATCACTTGAGGCTGGGAGTTCAAGACCAGCCTGGCCAACGTGGTGAAACCCAATCTCTACTAAAAATACAAAAATTAGGCTGGGCACGGTGGCTCACGCCTGTAATCCCAGCACTTTGGGAGGCTGAGGTGGGTGGATCACAAGGTCAGGTGTTCGAGACCAGCCTGATCAACACGGTGAAACCCCGTCTTTACTAAAAATACAAAAATTAGCTGGGCTTCATGGCGCATGCCTATAATCCCAGCTACTCAGGAAGCTGAGGCAGGAAAATAGCTTGAACCTGGGAGGTGAAGGTTGCAGTGAGCCAAGATCACACCACTGCACTCCAGTCTGGGTGACAGAGGGAGACTCCATCTCAAAAATAAATAAATAAATAAATAAATAAATAAATAAATAAATATTAGCTGGGAGTGGTGGCACATGCCTGTAATCCCAGCTACTCAGGAGGATGAGGCAGGATAATCACTTCAACCCAGGAAGCAGAGGTTGCAGTGAGCCAAGATCATGCCACTGCACTCCAGCCTGGGCAACAGAGCAAGACTCCCTCTCGAAGAAAAAAAAACAAAAACATAGCTCTTCTTTAAAAGTTGAAAATTCTTCGTTTTTCTCCTTTAACTCTGAACCAGTTAGGGTTCAGTACAAGAAACAGAAACCGCTCAAGGCATTTTAAGCAAAAACAGATTTAATATAGAGAATTGGGTTTTTACAAAATAACCAGAGTGAGTTCTAAGTAGGTTTCCAAAAGTCCAGCATAGGCAAATCCACAGAGACAGAAAGTAGATAAGTGGTTGCCTAGGGATGGGGGCAGAGGATGGGAGATGGGGGTTATGAGTGTGATAGGGGAGATGAGGAGTGACTGCTAAAAGAGTATGTAGTTTTATTGGAACACAGGCCTGTTCGTTCATTTATGTATTGCCTGTGGCCACATTCATACTGCAATGGGAGAGCTGATTAATTACAACAGAGACTGTATGACCCTCAAAGCCTAAAGTGTGTACTATTTTGTCCTTTAAGAAAAAGTTTGCCAGCCGAGTGCAGTGGCTTACACCTGTAATCCCAGCACTTTGTGAGGCAGAGGCAGGCGGATCATCTCAGGTCAGGAGTTTGAGACCAGCCTGGCCAACATGGTGAAACCCCGTCTCTACTAAAAATACAAAAACATTAGCCGGGTGTGGTGGCAGGCACCTGTAATCCTAGCTACTCGGGAGGCTGAGGCAGGAGAATCGCTTGAACTCGACAGGCGGAGGTTGCAGTAAGCTGAGATCGCGCCATTACACTCCAGCCTGGGTGACAAAAGCGAGACTCCTCCTCAAAAAAATAGAAGAGTTCGCCAACCCCAGCTTTTATTCAAAGATGCAATGTTGAACTGTCAGGAATAAATATGTAACTTTTCACCTTCTCTTCCTTGAAATAAAGCTATAGGAGCACCCAGGCACAGAATGAGATGCTGGGGAAAGCAAGTCCTCACCAAGCTGTTTCTCACTAAGAATTGTAAAATTTCAGAATGGTCCACCTTGTAGATGAGTACCCAGGGTGCTTCTTACTTTAAATATTCTAATCTATGATAGATAAACAATAGTTTTATTTTCAAATGGTCATATTTATATTATGCCAGAAATCACATCCTTTGCAAAAACTTATGATGACAAATTTTGATGTCAACTTTAAGATGTATGTGGAATACATAGCTATTTTTGTGTTTGTTTTTCTTCAAAATGCTTGAAGAGAGCTTGCAAGCAAAAATGTTGAAAGATCACTGGCTGAAAGAAGAAAGTCCAACTTTCATTTTGGCAAGAGTTTCAGGTGGATGTATAACCTCCCTCCACACCAACTAGAATTGCTCTAACGATTAGTTATGCTTTTTTTTGTAATTTATTAAGGTACCTGGTGTCTTTGTTCATTTGCTGCATCACCTTATAGAAGTTTGCAGAAGTAAAGCTCTACATACAAGCTATTTGGGTATGGACACACAAGTGAAAAGGAAACTAACATCTACTGAGCATCCACCACTTGTGAGACCCTCTACATAAATTCTCTTATTAATTCCTTGCAATTTTACTTGGAAGTACATGTTATTATTATGTTAATCTCATGTTATTATAGCCTAAAAAAAGATACTACATGATTTTAGGTAATGTACTCAAAACCATATAACTAGCAAACAACAGAACTAGCATAGAAACCCAAGACTGACACTAAAGCCTATGTACCTTCCATTCTCTGCTCTGCCTAATTCAACTTTCTGATACCTCAGTTCTACATAGACATGTATCTGAGTCCAAGACAAGCAAGTACTCTAGAACCTATGATGGTACTACTTAGTCCCTAACAGTCCCTGACACTTAGCTCCGCTATAATTATTTTTTAAATTTAGAAAAAAAGATGTTTTTAGACAGAGCCTCGCTGTCGCCCAGGCTGATGTGCAGTGGCATGATCACAGCTCACTGCAGCCTCGACCTCCCAGGCTTAAGCAATCCCCTCATTTCAGCCTCCCGAGTTGCTGGGTTTACAGACACATGCCATCACACCTGCCTAATTTTTGTGTTTTTAGTGGAGATGGGATTTCACCATGTTGCCCAGGCTGATCTCAAACTCCTGGGCTCAAGCGATTTGCCCACCTCAGCCTCCCAAAGGGCTGAAATTACAAGTGTGAGCCACTGCACCAAGCCTGAAAAAATTTTTTTGATAGAGACAGAGTCTTGCTATGTTTCCCAGGCTGGTCTCAAACTTCAGGGCTCAAACAATCCTCCCATCTTGGCCTCCCAAAGTGCTAGGCTTACAGGCAGAGCCACTGCACCTGGCAAGTTCCCCTATAATCATTGTTTGGAAAAATATTCAAACCACCTAACTACCAGTAGGTCACCGGCACCAGCCACTCCAAACAAAACCCAATCTAAAGATGGGGACAGGGCCATCTGTGTTTACCCGTTGACTATCAACCCTGCCTAAAAGCATAGCATCTTCCAAAAAGCTGAAAAGGATGAACTTGCCCAACCATCTCATTGCTTCCAGATAAGGATGCTAAAGACTTAGAGATTAATGCCCTATCAAATGTCACACCATCAGTGGCTGGCTAGGCCAAAACAGAATCTCCTGTATTTTGATGATTGATTGATAAGTTGGTGAATTAGTGACACACTCTGCCTTCTTTCTTTTAGAATCTAAAAGAACTACAGGTGGCTTCTTAAACACAATCTCCAGTGCTGGAGCATGGGCAATTGAAAGTTCAGAACAGATCCATGAATACCTGTTAAATGGTTCCAGTCCTGATATCTGTCCCACTTTTCTTCCCTTTGTACCTCATCATCCACTGTTTGCATTCCACCAGTGGAGAACAGTGCATGTAAAACTATACTCGAATCAACTGGGGATCATCCTTGTTAAATTTCAGTCTGTTTCAGTAGGTGTGGAGTGAAGGCCAAGATTCCCCATGTTTTTAACAAGCTCCCAAGTGATGCCAATGTTGCTGACCACACTTTGTTTTTTGTTTTTTGTTTTGGAGGTTTTGTTGAGACAGGGTCTTGTTCTGTCGCCCAGACTGGAGTGCAATGGCATGATCATGGCTCACTACAGCCTCGACCTCCCAGGCTCAATCAATCCTCCTGCCTCAGGTGGGCCCCACCATGCCTGGCTAATTTTTTTTTTTTTTTTTTTTTTTGTAGAGACAGGGTTTCGCCATATTGCCCAGGCTGATCTTGAACTCCCAGCATACTTTGAGTGTGAAGGACTTATATAACGTTGTAAGAGTAGTGTTATTTCACACAAGAACTTTTCTAATTTTAAAAGGAGAAAAAAAAGATTAAATAGTGCTAAGGAATACCCAAATTAAGATAATCTCTAAAATCTATATTTCTGAGCACTGAACTCTAACCAGTAAGCAAGTAGCTTCATTTGGTGTGTTGGGAAATAGAATTATCGCTACTCCTTAAAAAAAATTAAACACATTTAAAACTTATTACATAAACACACCTACCCTGGATTACACTATCTTTTGTACTTTAGTAAAAGTAATAATGCTGATTAGAACACCTATTTAAAACACATGCTGCATTTTTCTCCTGGCTTAGAATTCATAAAATTCTATTTCTCTTTTACTTGGCTTATTACTCTTCACACTATCTGAAAACAATTCTACTACCAAGTGGACAATACAAAAATTAGCTTATATGATGTTCAACTTTCTCCATTTCTATTCTCCAGCTTCACAGGTTAGCGAAGGGTTCTTGATTTGGCCTAGTTAATAGACCCCAGCAAGACTCACTATTTGAAGACTGAGAGCCTCAAAAGATAAGCCAGATTAAAAAATCATTTTCCAGTACCATTTAAACCATGGTATCTAACACTGCTGATAAAGATGTGTAACAGTAGATAAATATTTCCTCCATGGACACTAATGACTAGAACACAACACTAAAGCAGTTTTCTGACATATGAACTCATGGCATGTGTTAATTCACAGCCACAGACCTCGTATAATGAAAGCAACATGATATTCACCGCTTTTATCTTGGGTTTTTTTAACTCTATACCTAATTCAAAAACAGAAACAAGCAACATTACAGAGAAGAATAACACAGTGAGAACACCAGTGCCCTCCCACTATGGAGAGTGTGTTTGCCCACCCCTTGACTCTAGCCCAGTCATGTAATTTACTTTGGCCAATAGGATGTTAGCAGATGTGACATCAGCACACACTTGGAAAGAGCTTGCTGATTGAGCTTATTTGGTCTTGCATCTCTGTTATCACCATGAGAACATGCCCTGCATAGTCTTCTGGAGGATGACAGGCACATGGAACAAAACTATGCTGCCCCAGTAGCCCCAGCCAACAGCCAACTGACCCCCAAATATATAGGCAAACTCAGGCAAGATCAGATGAGCTGCTTAACTGACCCTCCACTGAACTCCAGCACTTGAGCAATAAACTTTATTTTTTATGCACTAAGGCTTTCTGGTTGTTTGTTATACAGTATCATTGTGGCAACAGAGAGCTGACACAAGGTTAGATATAACGTTTCATTGGTGAAATGAGTGATGTTCTTGATGTGTAGTTAGCTTAACAAATTGTGCAGACACTTCTGCCCTTTGATGAATGGGATATAAGAATCAGCCAAGACTAGCAGCTTAACATCTTTAGAGTTGACTCTAGAAATAGAAGTGCATTCAATGCTATGATTCCCCCTACCTACATCAAAACAAAGAATTTGATTGCCTTACCCAACTGGAAGCCTAGCTGATCCTGCTGCTTTCACAATATTTTTGCATTGGCATTAGATTGAATCTTTCATGCAAGCATCTTGCTCAGAAACCTAAAAGGAGAGAGAATGAGGACTTCACTGTGTTTATATGTACTGGCTATATAATTGTTTTTGTGCTTGCGGAACAATAGATATTTGTATCTGAGGCAAAATTTGATTCAAAGCTAGGTTTTATCAAAAAATAGCTCTGGGTAGCAAGGTTGTAGCAAAGGAGATACAGCTTCCATCCACCCCTAATGATCAGAGGTACCAACATTTACTGAGAGAATCTGTCTGTTGACAATAGCCAAATTGGCTTAGGTCAGTTTGCAAAACAGAATAATTTCACATCTGACACAACAGGAATTATATCTTCTTAATGGTAGGAACTTGCAAATGCTAAATTTGTTGAAATAGATTTTATTGAATCCGTATGAATCACTTTAATTTTAAAGATAAGGAAGTGAAACCTAAGAAGGTTAAGGGAAATTCTCAAACTCACATCAGAAATGTAGTAGCAGATTTAGGTCTCAAATCCAGTTTCCCAAATACACAAATAATTATTTAGTCAGGTACAGTGGCTCACACCTATAATACCAGCACTTTGGGAGGCTGAAGCATGAGGACTGCTGAAGATCTGGAGTTCGAGACTAGCCTGGACAACATAGCAAGACCCAATCTCTACTAAAAATTGAAAAATTAGCCAAGTGTGGTGATACACACCTATAGTCCCAGGTATTCAGGAAGCTGAGGTGGGAGGATCATTTGAGCCCAGGAGTTCAAGGCTGCAGTGAACCATGATTGCACAATTGCACTCCAGTCTAAGCAATAAAATGAGACCATGTCTCTAAAGAATAATAATTCTTATTATTCTTATTTGACTTCCTATCAGTTACTTTTTCATTCAATTTTGTTGGTATTTTCTAAGAACCAGCATTTAGTTTTGTTGATTTTTTTTTTTTTTTTTTTTTTTTTTTGAGATGGAGTCTTGCTCTGTTGCCAGGCTGGAGTGCAGTGCCACGATCTCGGCTCACTGCAACCTCTGCCTCCCGGGTCCAAACTATTCCCACCTCAGCCTCTCGAGTAGCTGGGACTACAGGCGTGCACCACCATGCCCAGCTAATTTTTTTTTTTTTTTTTTTTTTTTTGTATTTTAGTAGAGATGGGGTTTTACCGTGTTGGTCAGCATGGTCTCAATCTCCTGACCTTGTGATCCATCCGCCTCAGTCTCCCAAAGTGCTGGGATTACAGGTGTGAGCCACCGTGCCTGAGCTTTGTTGATTTTCTTTACGGTTTTTCTATTCTCTATTTCATTATCGCCACTCTAGTTTTTTTCTTTCTGTTTTTGTTGGGTTTCATTTGTTCTTCTTTTTCTTTTTTTTTTTTTTTTTGGAAATGGAGTCTCACACTGTCACCTAGGCTGGAGTGCAGTGGAGATCTTGGCTTTCTGCAACTTCTGCCTCCCTCCTGGGTTCAAGCAATTCTCCTGCCTCAGCCTCCCAAGCAGCTGGGATTACAGGAGTGCACCACCAAGAGAAGGGGTTTCACCATGTTGGCCAGGCTGGTCTCAAACTCCTGACCTCAAGTGATCCACCCACCTCAGCCTCCCAAAGTGCTGGGATTACAAGCGTGAGCCATCGCACCCGGCCTTGTTCTTCTTTTTCCACTTTAAGATGGAAGATGAGATTGTAGATTTGATATCTTTAAAAAAAAAAAAAAAACAGCTTTACTGAGCTATAATTTAATATCATACAATTCACCTATTTAGAGTATACAACAGATTTAATTCACAGATATGTGCAACCATCACCAATTTTAGAACAGTTTCATCACTTCAAAAAAGGTGACATGTCTTTTAGTTATAACCCTCCCTTGGGGCTGCTATCTCTCCTGCAGCCCAAAGCAATCACTATTCTGCATTCTGTCTTCATATATTTCCCTATTCTGGACTTTCTTATAAATAAAATCATGTAATATGTAGACTTTTGTGACTGGATTCTTTCACTTAGCATATTTTCAAGGTTTACGCAAGTTGTAGCATTTATCTGTACTTTATTTCTTTTTATGGTTTAATAATGTTCCATTATAGTATGTAGTACATTTTATTTATCCATTTGTCAGCTGATAGACATTTGAGTTGTTTCTATCTTTCAGCTATTATGAATAATGCTGCTATAAAAATTCACATACAAGAACATACAATCTTAAAATTTATATGGAACCACCAAGGACCCTGAATAGCCAAACCACTCCTGAGCAAAAAGAACAAAGCTGGAGGCATCATACTACCTGACTTCAAGATATGGTACAAAACTATAATAATCAAAATGGCATAGTACTGGCATAAAAACAGACACACAGACCAATGGAACAGAATAGAGAGCCCAGAAATAAATCCAAATATTTACAGCCAACTGATTTTCAACAAAAGCAACAAAAACATACTTTGGGGAAAGAACAGTCTCTTTAACAAATAGTGCTGAGAAAACTAGATATCCAGATGCAGAGAAATGAAACTAGACCCCTATCTCTCACTATATACAAAAAGCAACTCAAAATGGATTAAAGACTTTAATGTAAGATCAAAACTAAGAAACTACCAGAAGATAACAGGGAAAATGTTTCAGGACCTTCGTCTGGGCAAAGATTTTATGGATAAGACCTCAAAAGTACAGACAACAAAAGTAAAAATAGATAAATGAAATTCTGTCAAACTAAAAAGCTTCTGCACAGCAAAGGAAACCATCAACAGAATGCATAGTCCACCTACAGAATGGGAGAAATTATCTGCAAACTATTCATCCAACAAAGAATTAATATGCAGAATACACAAGGAATTCAAACAACTCAACAAAAAAATAATAATCTGATTTTTTAAAGGATCTGAACATTTCTCAAAAAAGACATACAAATGGTCAAGAAGCATATGAAAAAATGCTCAACATCACTTATCAGGGAAATGCAAATAAAAACCGCAATGAGATATCATCTCACCCTAGTTAGAATGGCAATTATCAATAAGACAAAAAATAGCAAATGCCAGAAAGGATGTGGAGAAAAGGGAGTTCTTATACACTGTTGGTGGGAACGTAAATTAGTATAGCCACGATTATGTTAGTAAGTGAAATAAACCAGGCAAAAAAGATAAGTCACACATATTGTCACTCATATGGAATCTTAATTTTTTTTTGTTTGTTTGTTTTTCCTCATTTCCAATGGGGTTGGATGAATCTTTAAAAAGTTCATACAGAAATAAGGAGTACAATAGTGATTACTCAGGCTAAAAATGTGGGAAGAGAGGGGAATAAGGAGAGATTGGTTAATGGATACAAAAGTACGGCAACATAGAAGGAATAGGTTTTAGTGTCCTATAGCACTGTAGGGTGACTATAGTTCACAATACTTTGTTGCTTATTTTCAAATAACTAGAAGAGAGGATTTTGAATGTTTCCAACACAAAGAAATAATAAATGTTTGAGGTGATGGACACGCTAATTACCCTGATTTGATCATTGCACATATATTGTATACATGTATTGAAATCTCGCACTACCCCATAAATATGTACAATTATTATGTGTCAACTAAAAATAATGTAAAATTTTATGTACAAGTTTTTATGTGGATATGTGTTTTCATTTCTCTTGGGTGGAGCTCCTGGGTCACGTGGTAACTCTATGTTTAATCATCTGAGGAACTGCCAGCAGTTGTACCATTTTACATTCCCAACAGCAGTATATAAAGGTTCTGATTTCTCCACAACCTCAGAGATACTTGTTATTATCTGGCTTTTTGATTCAAGCCATCCTACCGGGTTTAAAGTGATATCTCAAAAAGATTTTGGTTTGCATTTCTCTGATAACTAATAATGCTGAGCATCTTTTCATGTGTTTATTGGACAGTTGTAGATCTTCTTTGGAGAGATGCCTATTTAGGCCCGATTTCTTAATTGAGTTACTTGTCTTTTATTACTGAGTTGTAAGAGTTCTTTATATATTCTAGGTACATGTCCCTTATCAGATATACGATTTGCAAATATTTCCCCCATTCTGTGGGTTGCCTTTCACTTCCTAGTTGGTGTCCTTTGAGGAACAAAAGTTTTTAATTTTGATTAAGTCCAATTTATCTATCTTTCCTTTTGTTACTTATGCTTTTGGTATCGTGTCTAAGAATGCTTTGCCAAATCCAAGGTCAGCTGTGTTTTCTTCTAAGAGTCTTATAGTTGTAACTATTACATTTAGGTCTTTCATCTATTTTAAGTTAGTTTTTTACACAGTGTAAACTTCATTCTTTTGTTTGTAACTATCCGGGTGTCCCAGCAACATTTGTTGGAGGGACTCTTCTTTCCCCAATGGATAATCATGGCACTCTTGTCAAAACTCAGTGGACCATAAATGTAGGACCGATGTCTGTACTCTCGGTTCTACTCCATTGATCTACATGTCTGTTCTTATGCCAGTACTATGCTGTCTTGATAACCATTGCTTTGTAGTAGGTTTTGAAATTGGGAAGTGTGAGCTATTGTACTTTGTTCTTCCTTTTCATGATTGTTTTGGCTATTAATATCTCTCGACATATTTTAGAATCAGCTTGACAGTTTCTATAAAGAAGTCAACTGGGATTCTAATAGGAATTGTATCATATCTGTAGATTAATTGGGGGCATACTGTCATCTTAACAATGTTCAGTCTTCCAATCCATATACATAGGATTTCTTCTATTTAGATCTTCTTTAATTCCTTTCAACTATATTTTCTAGTTTTCAGACTATAAGGTTTGTACTTCTTTTGTTAAATTTATTCCTATTCTTTTAATTATTTTTGATAACATCATAAATGGAATTGTTTTTTAATTTTATTTTTGGATTGCTCATTGCAAGTGTCTAAAACTATAATCTTTGTATATTGACCTTTGTATGTTGATCTTGTATCCTGCAATCTTGCTGAAATAGTTTGCTAGTTCTAACAGATTTTTAGTGGATTCTTTAGGATTTTCTACTAAATCTAAAGAGTTATTGATTGTTTAATTGATAGAATTTGAATTTCAAATTTATATTTCTATAAATTCCCTCTAAGTACTATTTTAGCTGCACTCTATATTTTGGCATGTTGTGTTTTCATTTTTATTCGTTTCCAAGTGTGACTGAATTTCTCTTGTGATTTCTTCTTTGACTTCTCAGTTATTTAGGAGTATGTTTTTTAATTTTCACATATGTTGAATTTCCCGAAATTCCTTCTGCTACTGATTTCAAATGTCATTGAATTGTGGTTGGATAACACATTTTGTAATAATTTCAATCCCTTTAAATTTACTGAGGCTTCTTTTGTGGCCTAATATATGGTCTACCTCGTAGGATATTCTATGGGTACATGAAAGTATTGTGCATTCTGCTGTTGGAATGTCCTATGGTTATTTATTAGGCATCATTGCTTTATAGTGTTAAGTCTTCTATTTCTTTTGTTTATTTTTTGCCTGGTTGTTCTCTCCCCTTCTGAAAGTGGAGTGCCAACTACTGTTTTTTAATTTTTAATTTTTTTTATTCAACTCTGAGTTTTCACTTCTCATAATGGGGGACTCTGTTGTTAGGTGCATATATGTTTATAAATTTGTCTTCCTGACAGATTGACCTTTTAAGCACAACAAAATGTCTTGTTTGTCTCTAGTGACTTTTTTTGTCTTAAAATCTATTTGTCTCATATTGGTATAGCTACTCCATCTCTTTGGTTACTATTTGCATGGCACATCTTTTTCCATCCTTTACTTTCAATTTACTTGTGTCTTGGAATCTAAAGTGAGTCTTTTGTAGATGGCATACAGTTGGATCATTTTTTTATTCACTCTGCCAGTCTCTGCTTTTAAACAGACAGCATAAACCATTTATATTTAATTTAATTACTGATAAGGTGGGATATATGTCAGCCATTTTGCTGTTTTCTACCTGTCTTTTTTGTTCCTCAAGTCCCCTAATATTGCCTTCTTTTGTGTTAAATATTTTCTCATGTACCATTTTAATTCCTTGTCAATTCTTTTATTATATATTTTTGAGTTATTTTCTTACTGGCTGCCCTGGGAGTTGCCATTAACATCTTAGTTTATAATGATCTAGTTCTGATTAATACCAACTTAATTTCAATGGTATACATATATATATAATTTTTTTTGAGATGGACTCTAACTCTGTCACCCAGGCTGGAGTGCAGTGGTGCAGTCTCGGCTCACTACAACCTCTGCCTCCTGGGCTCAAGTGATTCTCCTGCCTCAGCCTCCCAAGTAGCTGGGACTACAGGTGCCCACCACCACAATCGGCTACTTTTTGTATTTTTAGTAGAGGTGGGTTTCACCGTGTTGGCCAGGCAGGTATCAGACTCCTGACCTCAAATGACCCACCCACCTTGGCCTACCAAAGTGCTGGAATTACAGGCATAAGCCACCACACCTGGCCCAGTGGTTTAACTTTTAAATGCTCTAAATAGTTCAACTCCTCTATGCTATTACTATTATGTGCTCATCAATACAGATTTATAGTTATTGCCCCATGTAATTGTCTTCTAAGTCAGATATGAGGAAAAAAGATCAATAATAAACAACAAATACATTTATATGCCTTTAATATTTACCTACATGATTACTTTACTGGTGTTATTTCTTCATATAGATTTGAGTTACTGTATAGGGTTCTTTCAATTCAACCTAAAGGACTCTTTTTTAGTTCCAGCTGCTATAACAAAAATACTATAGCCTAGGTGGCTTAAACAACAAACGTGTATTTCTTACAGTTCTGGGAGCTGGGAAGTCCAAGATTAAAGTACCAGCAGATCCAGTGTCTGGAAAGGGGCTCTTCCTGGTTTGTAGACCACCGTCAACTCATTGTATCCTAATACAGTAGAGGGGGAAGAAGTAAATTCCCTTATGTCTCTTCTTATAAGAGCATTTTGGTCAGGCGCGGTGGCTCACACCTGTAATCCCAGCACTTTGGGAGGCCGAGGCACGAGGTCAGGAGATCGAGACCATCGTGGTTAACACAGTAAAGCCTCATCTCTACTAAAAAATACAAAAAATTAGCCAGGCGTGGTGGCGGGCACCTGTAGTCCCAGGCTGAGGCAGGAGAATGGTGTGAACCCAGGAGGCAGA